CCCCCAACAACTGGGGTTCTTCCTGGCACATGTGCAAGAGTATGGGAGGTATCTCACAACCAAGCCCCACACACCCAAAGACAGCTACAAAGCTTCCTAGTGTTCACAAATTTCTATAGGCAATTCATTCTGTCATTCACCCAAATCACCCTATCACTAACTTGCTCCATGAAAGACAGACTACCATGGGTGGGAGGAAAACTCTTATGCAGAGGTGGGCTGCTGCTAATTCTCACTGGTTCTGGCAAACCAATAGTTAAGATTAGATGCAGTTCAGTGAACTATCAAATCCCACCACTGGCTGGCCCTGCCCCAGCCCATTTTTTTGGCCTGTTTTTGGGCCATTTTTCAGGCTGTTTCAGGCAGCTTTTTGGGCCAAAAATGGCCTGAAAAACTGCCTGAAAACAGCCCCAAAACAGGCTGAAAAATGGGTGGGGGCGGGGCCAGCCAGTGGTGGGATTAGCCCCAACCGGCTGAATCCTACCTCTTCCTTTGAGGCAAATGGCTGGGAGGCAAGGCTGGGTGTGATGAGTGACACCACTCCTTTTCTTAGGGGGGGCAGCATGTCAGGTCCTATAGATCTCTATCGGGACTTTGCCATTCTGGTGGGAGCGGGGAGGAGTTGTGTTACGTTTTCATGGGGTTTTTCTTTGTTCCTTTTCTCAACTTTGATGTACCTTTGGGATATTGGGAGGAGGGAAAGAATCTTGGGCCATCTTGGGGGAGAGATTTATTAATATGATTAAGGCAATTTATCATAAACAAACAGCTAAGGTGATGGTAAATGGGGACATGACTGAGATTTTTAATATAAAAGGCACAAGGATGTCCATTATCCCCTTTACTATTTGTACTGACTTTGGAAGTGCTACCTAGAAATATTAGACAGATCAAAGAAATAAAAGTTACTAAAAAAGAGAGAAATACAAGTTACAGGCATTTGCAGACAATTTGGTTTTTATCTTAGAAGATCCACAAGAAACTGGACCTAAGTTAATTTAAAAAATAAAATAAAATAAAATGGTGAAGTTGCAGGACTGAAAATAAACAAAAAGACTAAAATACTAGTTAAAAATCTTACAGATACACAGAAAAGAGAGCTATTGAAAAGAACTGACATACAGATAGTCAAGAAAATAAAGTACATAGGGATACAACTAACAGCAAAATGTGCAATGATTAAAGAGGACAATTATACTGAGCTGATGCATCAAATCAAATCAGATTTGGAGAAATGGAAAAACTTGCAATTGTTGACAGGAAGAATAGCTACTATAAAATGAATATTTTGCTAAGACTATTATTATACTTATTTCAAACAATTCCAATAAAAATGAGAAAATATTTTGAAGAACTAAACAAAATAATACTAAGATATATTTGGCTAGGGAAAAAAACAAGAATAAGCCTGAAAATGTTGCAAGATTCCAAAAAAAGAGGGGGCTTTGGGTTGCCAGATTGGGAATTGTATTATCAGGCCTCAATACTTACATGGGTGAAAGAATTGATTAATTTGAGGCATAAAAGAACTATTCACCTTAGAGGGACATGATTACAGCATGGGAAAAATAAGATACATAACTATGTTCAAAGACATATTAGAAATGCACTACTATCAGTATGGGTAAAAATTAAAGAACAGCACTATTTGAAAATATCAGTCTGGCTTTCCACAATGGAAGCACTGATACATCCTAATGTTATCAATTTGGAAAAAAAATATAAGATATAAAGATATTTTGAATGAAAAGGGGAAATTAAAAACTAAGCAAGAGAGTAGTCAAGGGATGGATATAGCACAGTGACCACAAGTGCAGATACAATCTCAATATGAGAAAGATGATAAAGTGTATGGTTTTAATAAAGAAGTAGCAGAATTAGACCAGATATTAATTGGGATGGATGAAAAATTAATAAAGAAAATACATAGCTATTTATTAAGCATCAAATTGGAAAGTGAGCAAGTAAAGGAGACAATGATAATTTGGGCTTAAAACTTTGGGTATACAATAGAACTGGATAAATGGCAGAAATTGTGGAATAGGAATGTTAAACTATGTCAACTGCATATAAAGAAAACTTGTATAAAATATTTTATAGATGGCATTTTTCACCAAGATTGGCAAAGATGTTTAAAGACATATCCGCTAAACGTTGAAAGTGTAACCAGACACTTGGTTTGTATTATCATATGTGGTGGACATGCCCAAAGGCAAAAAAAACTGGACAGAAATACATACTTGGTTGGAAAAAATGATAAAGCAACATATTGATTTGAAACCAGGAATATTTTTGTTGGGCATCCTACTGGAAAAATATGATAAAGGGAATATATATTTGATTTTACATGTACTAACTGCAGCCAGAATTGTATTTGCACAACAATGGAAAAGCGAAGAGATCCCGACAGATGAGAGTGTAATTAAAAAAATATTAGAATGTGCAGAAATGTATAGATTAACGCTTACAACTAAGGAAAAGGAAGGAACTGAATAGTTCTTGACATGGGACTTATTTTACCAATGGTTTGATAATAAAAACAGAAGTTAGAAACATGGGGATACAAAAGTGATTAACGTTATAAAGGAGATTTGTTGAAGTAGATAAGTCAAATATTATTATTAAATTAGCATCAATGTGATGATTATTAAAAACATTTTGATTATGATTTCCTAAAAATAATTGCACCCAGACAACACAGAGTTTAATTGAAATTGAGTATATAAATAAAACAAAAAAATAGAAAAAATAGAAAGCATAACTCTGAGGCAGGTAGATTCCTCAAAGAACATGTTTATTGGAGACGTCATATCGGCACAGCCAGTGAAAACCAACTCTAAAGGCTCCCGTGGTTTTCACCTAATTAAAGGAGTAAAAGTACCCCCCTCCTAGGTGTCGCCAGTGTCCTGGCAGCTTCTTCTCCTTCACCAGCCACCTGTTACAATGTCCTTGGTTCCCACAGGAAAACTTTGTTTTGACTGCTGACTGGGCTACCTACTTCCCCCCTCCCTTCCCTTTCTCAGGCTTCGTGGCAACACAAGATGCTTCAGCCAGGTTCACTTCAGAGTTGACACAGAACCACAATCCAAATAATTCTTTCAGAGAACTTTGAGTCAATTGGAAGGGCCCTTTTAATATCTTTCAATGTCCATCAGTTTCTCTGAGCTGCATTGGCCACCAGTTTTCCAAAGGCCAACTGTGCTCCAGTCAATCCTCCCAGCTTCATGCATATGTTGCATGAAACCAACATCTCCCAGGTGTTCCAATCTCCCAAGGATCTCTACTACCTTTAGTATTGTGAGCATAAAACAACGGCTCCTAATTCTCTTTTGTGTTAGCTATGCCAATTGTTTTCTGTATCCTGTTATTATCCGGCTATTCTCTCTAGACACAGTTTTCTATACAGCAGTTTATTGCTCGATAATTTTTTGGAAAATGAAAATATGGCTATATGTATTAAGAATTTTGCATTGTTCATGGAGAAAAACTGTGTTTAATTTTAATTGTGTGTCAACTTACAATACTCATTTTGTAATTTTGGTTATATTTCTTCAAAATGCAAACAATATTTTTGTGAAAACTGTCCTACTAGAAACAAGCTCTATCTGTCCACTATATTATTGTCTCAGAACTTTTGTAAACAATTTCCCAAAGACAGACAAGAGATAATTTTCTCAGAACCTCCGAGCAACTCAAATTTCAAAGAAATACTTTTTATTTTGAAACTTCTATTTGAACAAATTAAGCATTTTCTAAGAACCATTAATTGCAATGAACATTTAATCCATGTATTTAATTCTCATTCCAACTGAACCTTGCAGTGCCTTGTTTTGAATATCATTACACCGATGATAGATCCAATCTAGATCAGTCACTGGGACCAAAGGTTTTGTCCTCTGAGTTTTCGGACTCATGTTGGTGCCCATTATCAGGGAACTTCTCTTTAGCAGAATGTGTGTTGTGTATGTGATATTTATATGGTGCCTGTTGCATGTGGCTTTTTAGATGTTGATTGGAGTGCGTTGATGGCTGGCTTAATGGTTGATAGCCAGCCATCAACAGCCCCCAATCAGCATCTAAAAGCCACATACAACAGGCACCATATAAATACCATACACAGAACACCACACACTCTGTTAGAAGAAGTTCCCTGAAGATGGGCTCCAGCACAAGTCCAAAAACTCAGAAGACAAAACCTCTGGTCCCAGTGACTGACTCGGATTGGATCCTACAACATTATCCTGGACATGTATATTCTCCTTCATTCGAGATTGATAATATTTACTGATGCATAATTATAATAAATTGATTATCAAAAGTTTAAAGAAGTATGATATAGTAAACATTTGATTTAATACACTTTCAGATTTCAGATGCAATGATTAAAATCTGGACATGCATAAAATCCCATTCACCATTCCAAACATGCATAAAATCTCATTCCAATTTTACGTTTTTTTTTTAAAAAATGCATAAAATATGCATAGGTAAAATTCTATTCAGAATCAGCAGACATCCTGCTTTTATACACACCTCTTTCTCCCAATGACACCATTAAATTGAAGGTTTGGGAAATTACAGAAAGACCTTATAAGATTCTTCTACTATATGAAAAAAGTTGAGGCAGAAATATTATGCACACAATGTGTATGAAACTAAACAAACATTTATTTGTGTCTACTTTGGCAATAATTTAGTTTTAAATTATTTGAGGGATATGATTCTCACTGTTTTGAATGACCATTGTGTCAAAAAAGAGTTAAGATAAAATATGAAGTACATATTGTATGTAGCATCTGCTTTTAAATATACCTGCACAGTATACACTCAACCCAAATGGTTTTGCAATTCAAACATACTTTACATGAGATAGAGCTACCAGAGTTATATTCAAAGTTTTTTATGCCATGTTTATCCTGAAAAATTTGACTTCTTACAGTGTTGCAATTAAGTTACAGTCAGCATTAATTTGATCTCAAGGATTAGCTTTTTACTAAAGCTTTGGTACCAGAAAATTAAAATTATAATAATCTGAACTATCAATTCTCCACACCAGAAACTAAAGGTATTTTAAAAGTATTATACCTTTCATTACATTTGCATGTTAAATAGTTATTTTTCAAAAGAAATACACTGTATTTATATGTGTTCAGACTCAGCCTTGGTTTCAATAAGTGCTTTGCACAGTAAATGCAAATTTAACACAGTAGATAAAAAATGAACCAGTATCAGCAATTTCAAATTTAACAGCAACAGTAGGCAGAGCTAACATATGCACTCAATATAATGCATGACATGTTATTTCAATTTTGGCCCACATTTATTTATTGCCATACTTAAATATTCCGTACTAGCTATTAAGAAAAATTTGAAATGAAGAAATGATCTTAACAGGGCTTTCTCTTTACTATCAAGATCTCACTTCTGAATATATGGTACAATTTCAAAAGGAGACTGTTGAAAATTAAACAATTTTTTGTAGCCAACATAGATCATTTTCTTGCTGTATGGACAATCTTTTCATTTAACAAAGAGGATTGTTTTCTTTATCAAAATAACATGAACACAAGACAAAAAACCCTCTTTTTTGGTGGTGGTGGTTTTAGGAAAACATCAAGGTGCGGTTCATGGCCTTGCTACCCATCTCCCATCATCATCTTGCATAGCGCTTAATGTAATCTTCAACTTTAGTTCGGAAGTCCTCCTGTATGCAGTTGAAAAATAAATATGTTTATAGAAACAATAATAGCCCTATACTTATGTGTCGCCATTAAAATTCCAATACATAGTTTTCATTCCAGACAGAGTAAGTCTTACTGCATGACGATTTTCTCCCTGAATCTCGAGAGAGACCTTATTTTTCCTGAGGAGAAAAGCTGTTGAAAGAAAAGGAATCTGTAGGGCAGGGGTGTCAAACCCAATCGCATCATGGGCTGCATCGTGACATCTGGATGTTTTTTGCCTTTGCGGAGCTGGGCTGGGCATGGCCTGCCCAGGCCATATACAGCTCTCAGTTTGACAGCTATGGATCTTGCTACCACAAAAAGGAGTGTCTCTGAAATTAGCTGCTGCTTGTACTAGATGTTTGCCAATAGAAAATAACCTTTTTTTCTCCTGGGCTAAGATCCATCTTCACATTCTACTTACCATCACAGGAAGGTATCTTAATGGTTTAATGATGGCACCTCTGTCTCTACCTCAGCCTCTATGGAGACAGTTGGAAGTTTTTTGCTATTAAATTGATCCTTTCTCTCTCTTCTCCTTACACAAGGAGTTTATGAGGCCTCAGTGATGATGCTGGAGAAGAATCTACCCAGTTAATACAAACTGCTTGAATCTGCTTTTGAACATTCTCCATATCAAAAGGACTAAACATGCTATAGGAAAGGCACACTTCCTAGTTCTCCTAAGGGTGGAATTGTTTAAAAAAAGCAGTACGAACACACCCACCCTATCTCATCTGGTAGGAAGGGTAGCTGTACTTTGGGAGAAATGGTCCCACGGATAACCTGCTCTTATAAATAAGGAAGCAAAAAAGGCCTAGTTGAGCACCTTTTTGTATTGCTGAAACCTAGAAACAGTTAACTCAGAAACAGTTTTCATGCTCTTGAACTTGGAATGCGCATTCAAAGGAAGAGAGGAGATGTAAAAAGATAGCCAAGATAGTTGTAACTCATTAATATAACAAAATCTAAACAAAAGTTTCCATCTCTAGACCAATCTTTGTGAAATGTGCAAACCAGAAACCAGTCAGTCTGATTCTGACACTAGAAGGATTGATAAAGAGATCATTTAGTTAAAACACTGAAAACTGTAAAATAATAAAATAGAATTTATCATGAATTGATTATGTGGAAATCTTTTCAGACTAACATTACCTCATTTTTGCTTGGACAGCTTCCTTAACAGTTTGTGGAAAGGACATAGTGGCTAATTTGCACTTCAGCAAATTCAATAAATATATGGTGAGGTGCTGGTAAATAACTTGGTAAGGTAATGTCTGGAGGATGTGAAAATTGAGTACATACAATGCATTCAGAAATTATTCAGATCCTCTTCAATTTTGTTATGCTGCAGCTTGATTTTTCTCCCCCCTCCCCAATTAACTTACACTTAGTACCACATAACAATAAACAGAATTTTAGAAATGTCTTTAAATTTATTAAAAAGAAAAATACCCCTGACATATATTGGCATAAATATTCAGACCTTTCATTCAGTAATTTGTTGGAAGCACCTTTGGCAGCAATTACAGCCTCGAGTCTTTTTGGGTATGACGCAACAAGCTTTGCACACCTGGATTGGGGGATTTTCTGCCACTCTTCCTTGCAAATCCTCTCAAGCTCAGTCAGGTAGGATGGCGATCGTGGTTGGACAGCCATTTTCAAGTCCCTCCAATGATGTTCAATAGGTTTCAAGTCTGTCTGGGCCACTCTAGGACATTCACTGTTGCCCCTAAGCTTGCGCTATCTTGGCTGTGTACTTAGGATCATTGTCATGTTGAACTTTCGACCCAGTCTGAGGTTCTGAGTGCTGTGGAGCAGGTTTTCATTGAGGATATCCTTGTACTTTGTTTAACTTTTCTTCAACCCTGACCAATCTCCAAGTCCCTGCTGCTGAAAAACACACCCACAGCATAATGCAAAAACCAAGCAGGCTTTCATGTGTTTTGCACTGAGGAGAGACTGCTGCCTAGCCACTCTGCCATAAAGCCCAGATCAGTGGAGGGCTGCACTGATGGCTGTCCTTCTGAAACTCTATCCCACTTCCAAACACAATCTCTGGAGCTCGGTCAGAGTGACCATTGGGCCCTTGGACACCTCTCTTACTAAGGCCCTTTTCTCCAATTGCTCAGTTTGACTGGGCAACCAGCTCTTGGAAGAGTCCTAGTTGTGCCAAACTTCTTCCATTTGAGAATTATTAGAGGCCACTCTGCTCTTGGGAACCTTCAGTACAAATTTTATTGTAGCCTTCCACAGTTCTTGCCTTGCAATAATCCTGTCTCTGAGCTCTGCAGGCAGCTCCTTCAATATCGTGGCATTTGCTCTCCTACAGTATGCATTGTGTTGTTGCACAGGGTCTAAAAGGGACCCCGACTGCCCATGGCCTACGACAGCAACAATGAGGGCAAAGATGACCCAATGGTAAGTGAAGCCATCCAGCTCTTCACCATCCCATCAAAATTGATAGTGTCCAAGACAGAGGCAAAAGGGGAAATGGAAGCCATTGTAGACACGGGCTGCACCGACTGCTTGATCAGCCTGCCCATGGTCCTAAAGCTACAGATCATGACGAAAATGATGACCCGACTCATACAATTCGAGCAAGTGGATGGATCACTGATAGGGGGAGCCCCTGCCACACTCCTTACCAAACCCGTCAGACTAGAGATGGGCTGGCACTGAGAACTCATCTGCTTCATAGTGGCACAAAAAATGGTGGAAGCGGTGATTCTGAGACTGGCATGGCTAGGCAAATGGGGCCTCACCATCTGATGGGAAGGGGGCGACTGAAAACTAAGACTGGAAGTAGGCCCCCTCCCTCTTCCTGGCACCGCTATGGAAGAAACTGCCCAACAGCTAAATGTCATTAAGTGTAATGACAAAACAAAGACCACATCTGAGCAGCCCCTAGGGATGCCCCAAATTCCCAGAGTACTGGGACCTAGCAGGCATCTTCAGTGAAGAAGAATGCAACACTCTAACCCCCACTCTCACCGCCTGTATCATCAAATTTGTCCCTGGGGCGAAACTACCAAAGCCAAAAATATATTCCATGACCCCAAAAGAAATGAGAGAGCTAAGGGAGTACATCGACATGAACCTAGCGGGGGGGTTCATACAACCAGCAAAATCAAGGGTCGCCATCCTGGTTCTATTCAAAGACAAAAAGGATGTGTCAATGAGGCTATAAGTAGATTTTAGGGGAATTAATGCCATCTGCATGGAAAACATATATCCACTCCCCCTAATGAAGGTCCTGATAGCCCACCTTGCAAAAGGAAAGGTGTTCATTAAGTTAGACCTATGAGAGGCATAATACCAAGTGAAGATTAGGGAATGAGATGAATGGGAAATGGCATTCAATTGTCCCCTAGAGAGCTTCCAATTTAAAGCAATGCCATTTGGCTCCAAGGAATCAATATGATGCACCCATATGATGTATCCAATACATTGTTCTTTGGGGAATTTGCCTGCCTCAGAGTTCTGCTTTCTATGGGTGCATTACTTGGAATGTTGACAGCTGCAGCATAACAAAATTGACAAAAGTAAAGGGGGTCCGAAACTTTCTGAATGCACTGTATGTAAGCATTCTTTTTGTAAACTTTAGCTTGGCATTCAACACATTATGGAGTAACAAGTGTAGATTAATGAGAAAAAAATGAATTTCAACAACTGTAAAAATAGGCTGCAGCAGAACAAAATTGACAAAAGTGAAAGGAGTCTGAATACTTTCTGAATGCACTCTATATAGTGTAGCTGTTTCTCAATCATACTCAGAGTGCCCACTTATAGCTTCCCAACAAACTGGAGACAGATACCAAGTAGGATGTCACAAATATCAGTCCTGTGTAGTCCAATATTTTTAATAAGGACTTGGGGAAGGTGGTTGAAAGGCTGGTTATATGGCAGCTCCATAGGTTTCTGGATGAAACGGATTATCTAGACCCCTACCAGTCAGGATTCAGGCCTGGATATAGGACAAAAACAGCAATGGTCGCATTTTTTATGATCTTTTGTGGGAGCAGGATGAGGGAAATGCTTCCATCCTTGCTCTACTTGACCTCTTGATGGCTTTGATACCCTCAACCATAGTATCCTTCTGCAGGGGCTTTGGGAGTGGGGGGGGCTGTGGTACCCTGTTCCACTTCCTTCATCTGTGGCCTCTCAGTCAGTTAGTAGATGAGAAATCCAGCCCTTACCCACTGCTTTAAGGGATCCCGCAGGGTTCGTGTCATGGCCCTGTCGGAACCTGGGTCTGAGGAGGAGGAGATGGGAGATGGAGCCAATGGAGGGGGTGGGCATAGCCCCTATGGGCTATGAGGTACGACCTGGGGTCAAGAATGAGGCAATCCTGGGTCCCTCAGGCTTTGAAAGAATAGGCAGGAAGGAAGAGGTAGGCAGACTGAGGAAGGGGGGAGGAGATGGAAAGGGCAGGTAGTGGAGCAGAGGAGCAGCGGAGCTCTGGAGACAAGCAAATGCTTCCTCTGCCCAATCCCTACATACAGAGAATGGAGAGAAAGCAGAATCAGCGCAGGGTGACCCAACTACTCAGGGGGAGAGTGCTCCGCTCCTCACAAGGATCAACTGGGGAGTAGCATTTAAGGATAAGCTGTGGGAAGGGGTTCTCGTTGGGAACAATTATATTTCGCTGTAACACTCTCCGCAGCTTTTAGAAAAACATTGCTCTAGAATCCTTTCTGCTGTTGACTGAGGTTTGATTCTTTGCCTTGACATTGGTGGACTTCCACTGCCAGGAGGCTGCACAAAGGAACATGGGGTTTGAGCCTTGCTCTTGGACTGCAGGTGTGCCCTGTGGGCAGAGACTTTGGGGAACGGACTGGGAATTGCTGGATTGTGGGGATTTTGGTGGATGGTGGTTGAATAAATGCTGAGAAGCTTTTTCATAGCATGTGTTGCTTGTGCACCAACTCTACATCGTAACAGCTCGGTACTCTCTCAACTTGTATTCAACATTTATATGAAGCCGTTGGGGGAGATCATTCATCACCATGGACTGAGATATCACCAATATGCTGATGATACTCAGCTGTATGTCTCAGTCTGCAGTGAGTTAAGCAATGCTGTGACCTCCCTCTCAGAGTGCCTGGAGGCTGTTAGGTGCTGGATGGGGAGCAACGAGTTGAAACTGAACCCTGGAAAGACCAAGAGATTCTGGTTTTGGGGTTCTTTAGCCATGGAGAATTGCAACCTTTGGTCTTGGATGGGGTGGCACTGCCCCAAACAGACCCTGTGCATAATCTGGGGGTTCTCCTGAACTTGCAATTCCTGCTCGGAGTCAAGGTCAGGAGGGTCTTTGTGCAACTGCGAGTTGTGCACCATTCATGGACCAACAATCCCTCCTCATGCCCATGTCATTTCCCATCTTGATTATTGCAACTTGCTCTACATGGGGCTGCCCCTGAAGCGCATCCGGAAGCCCCCGTTGTGCAAAATGCAGTGGCCCACATGGTTTTGTGAAGACCTCAGTGTCTACATGTATCACTGCTCCTGTGAAAACTGCATTGGTTGCCAATTTGCTCCTGGGTGCAATTCAAAGTGCTGGTTGTCACCTTTATAGCCCTTCATGGCTTGGGATCAGTTTATCTGAGGGACCGTCTCTTGCCAATCACATCTACCCAACCCACTAGGGTAGGGAGGCAAGGAATGTTGTGGGTCCCGCCCCTAGGGGGATACATCTAGCAGGACCCAGAAGAAGGGCCTTCTCTGTGAGGGCTCCCTCTCTCTGGAACATCATCCCCCCCAGAGATTAGACTGGCCCCCATTCTAACACTCTTTTGGAAGGTGCTGAACACATGGTTCTGCCAGGGGGCCTGGGAAATCCAGAGCGGCATGGGGCCTATTAAATAGCTTGTATGAATGTGTATTGTCGCCGGGGATGGGTGTGTGTGTGTTATAATTTTATTATTATTTTATTCTTTTTATTTCTTTTATACAGTGTTTTTATATCCATGTAAGCCGCCTTGAGTCGTCATGTGTGAATAGGCACCAATATAAATTTAAATAAATAATCTTGTTCCAATTGGCAACTTTGAGTTTGAATTTGGGGCTCCCAATCCAAAAATGGCCCTCCTAATTTCAGATAATCAGTTTGCTCTAGTTCTCAAAAAATATTGGTGTTTTTGTTGCACATTGCTACTTCTTAATCGTCTTTTTGACAATTCTGCAGAAAATTAGTCTAAAAGTACAAAATCTTATAGCCATAACTCCTTCAACATAGCTACTCAAGCCAACTCAAGAAATAGAAATTCCCTTTGGGCCATTTTTAAAATTCCTTTAAGCAATAATTTTCTTCATAAGCATAAGCATGTAATATGATGGCTGTCTGTTGGCTTGATATTCTTGGTATACAATAATCTGTCAGACTGCTGTATCTCCTTTATATCTAATCTTAAATCCATTTTAGATCCAGTGATACCTTGAAAATATTAATTTATGTATTTTCCTTTTGAAAACTACCAAATTAATATTTAAGAAATGAGCAGCAGAATTGTAATTTTCAATATACTGCTACTCACCTTGTCACGTAAATGATGTTCCGCAGCTTCAATATTTAAAGGATCATCAAAATTCAAGAGATCCTAAAAAACACAAAATAAGTGATGTTTTAAAAAGGCTTGTTATAAATTATGATTGTTTTGGTCTCTATTTCTTGAATAGCAGCCCAATTTCAAACTGTCATGGTATCAAATATCCTTGGAAAATACATTTTGTTGGGTTGTCAAAATTAGCTCATTGATGAGTTTAAATGTTCTATGTATGAATAAAATATACTGAATGACACTAAATACATATTTAATCCCTAAATATATTTAAGGGCTATAGAAGGTCACATAGTAATTTGGGGCTGCTCCATAAATTGCCAGTGTGGAAAAATGGGAAGACGGAGTGCAATGTATGCTGCCTTTCAGCTCCTGGGGGAAAGATGGCATGAATGGATAAATAAAGGCTTGGTTTAACAGTACCACATTCTACAATCAAATTATCATAGTTTGTATTTCTCCATGACTCCTCGTGTGCTGTTTGAGCTGAATCTAGGTAGTCCTTACCTCACAATCGACCCCAACTTTTCCACTGCTAAACAAGACAGTTATTATGTGAGTCATGTCCCATTTTGCAACCTTTTTGCCACAGTTGTTAAGTGAATCATGAGGTCATTAAGGGATTCTGGCTTCTCCCATTGACTTTGTTTGTCAGAAGCTCTTTAGGAAAGTTGCAAATGATAATCCCAGGACTCTGGGATCCTTCAACCATTGTTATTTACCAGTTGCCGAGCATCAGAAGTTTGATTACATGACTGTAGGGATGCGGCAATGGTTGTAAATGTGACAACTGGTTCTGAGTAACTTTTTCAGGGCCACTGTAAATATAAATGGTGATTAAATGAATGGCTACTAAGTCAAGGACAAACTGCAATAATTATTCACCTTCATTTGCCTAGTAAGATGTTAGTATAAAGAAAAAGGACAAAACATGTACCTCTAGAGTTCTTTGTTAGCTAATAAAGCTGAGTGAATGGAAGCAGGGCAACTGAATCAATTTCACTCTCACAAGCTCTACAGTAAGTGGATAAGCAGAAAAATAATGGAAAAATGTGACAAATACAATTCAAATGACTGAGATCTAAAAGAGATTTTAGTTTGGGAGTTTGCAATGTGGTACCTGTGGAATATAATATGCTTGCTAATCTCCTGACATATCTTCCCTTGTAACCTGGCAGGCCCTGACTTTCCCATCACAGGGAATCTCATGGCTATTCTATCCCTTCCAGTAATGGAAGTACAGTTAATCCTTGAGTTACAACAGTTCATTTAGCGACATCCCCCCCCCCAAGTACTTACGACACAGTCCTGAGGTTATGAATGTTGCATCATCACAACGGTCGTTCACCCTTATGATCACAGAAGCACTGCAACATTCACACTGCCTATTCCCCCCACCCCCACCCCAATATGGGTGTCCACAGGCACTGGGCCTGTAGAGACTCACTTACCTTGCAAAGATCTAGCAAACTGTCTCCTCTCTGCCGCAGTTTCTTTGCCTGCTTCGTTACTTCAGGCCTTTGGTGCATTCACAGAGAACACAGGTCTAAAGTACCACAAGATCAGTAGGGCGAGATCCCACACTTTAGGCCTCTGCTCTCTACTAATTGAGGCCTGGACAAGATCTGCGGCAAAAGGCTTTGCAAACAGAGGGAAGGCTTTGGTGCTTCAGGCCCTCCCTCTGTTTGCTGTTTCCTTGCTGAAGCCTGCAGGAGTGAGAGATTGGGTCCCTGTAGGCTCCAGTTGTCATATCAGGTTATGACAGAAATTGGGACTGGAATTGCTGTCGCTAACTGAAGTCACAGTTAGGGATCACATAGATCATTTATTGAGGATTTGGTGTGATTGTGACTTACGCCTTCCCCATCGACTTCATTGTGAGAAGCCAGCAGGGAATGTCAGAAAGTCATTTGACTGTGGCTCACTGCAATCATGTGACCACAGGGACACCGATGTCCATAACTCCAAGGACCAGTCCATAACTATAGCTATTTGTTCAGAACCACTTTAAGTTTGAATGATTGTTAAACAAGTGGCTGAGAACTTGCCTATAGAAGGAATAAAAGTCTATAGCTTATCCTTGCAAAAAATCAGGGATCAAAAAGCAAAGAAATAAACTTTGGTTGCAATGAGTAAGAATGCAAACTGAGGAAAGAAAGGAATCTTTTAAAGCCAAATGACTCAATGCTTGAAATATATGTGTAATATCTATAATACATATAGATCCAGCATTTCTACTAACTAAAACAAAGCACTTATATTCTAAAGCATCCAAAATATGTATGCACAGGTTTCTTTCAGATAATAACAATCTCCATTTGGCTATTATGAAAATATCAATTAGAGAACAATCATCCAATGGAACAGCTTGCCTTCCGAAGTTGTGGGAGCTTTCAAGAAGAGATTGGACTGCCATTTGTCAGAAATGGTGTAGGGTCTCCTGCTGGGGGAGGGGGGAGGTTGGACCAGATGACCTACAAGGTCCCTTCCAACTCTGTTAATCTGTTAAAGCTTGATTTCTCACTGATTAAGTCTGCAGTCTAATTGTTGTTTGGTATGGACTTTCAGAGCCCTAAAAATACTTCTACAAGGATTTAGTTGAGTTTCAATAAGCAACATCAGTAGAAACAAATTCTATGCATGTCATTAGTTTACCTATACAGTCCATGGACAATAATTTCACCAGTATACAGTATATGGAAAAGAAAGGATTAAAGCTGGTGAGTCAAATAATATTTGTCTAATAATAACAAATGTTGCATGGTTGGGAAGTTTAAAAAGGGTACTAAGATAGGGAATTCTATTTATAGCTAAGTTAAGTTTGGATGTAACACAGGAGTAATTCAAAACGAACACAGAAGCAAAAGTAATCATAAAGCTGAAAGTGAGGAATAGCAAAGCATCCATGGGACCCGGTTAAAATTCAATTTCTGCTTCTCCTGGATAATGTTTTCTTATTTCTAATTTTCCCCTTTCTGCCATGTGTGGAAATTGTTTTGTGCAGCTCCAGTCCAAAGATATTTACACCATAATAAATGTGTTAGTTTTTGAAAGTTACAAGAAGCGTGTAGATTTTAGATCAATAAACTAATACAAGTTGTGGAAATTGTGAGGACTAATCTGTTCTATTAAGGCTGATTTATTATATTAGCAGGTTAATCAAAATATGCACTCATTCAGTGAGGTTGTTACTTACAGTAAATAAAGAGTTTAATCCCCAAACAACATCCTGAAAAGGGAAAAAAAAGGATTCAACCAAAATTAAATATCTCAAATGCATTATATATAAAAACAGATAGATAAATAAATAGATATGCAGACAATCAGAAAGATCATGAAACTACTGAAACATCCTTATGAATTTCATAATTTTTAAAGAACCTGATTTGCAAATTATTAAAAACAAATGCAAATCTTTGAAATTATGCAACCATTTAAATTTAAATGCCCTAGTTCCTGATTATTATCTCCCTGTTATCAGGTATGTTCATCTTAAAGCTATACAGCAGGCATGTCCAGCAGAGTGCATACAGCCCTTGATCATAAATGTTTAACATTATTGTGTGCTATATATATTAACTATATTATACAGTTTATATGCAGCCAAAGACAATTCCTCTTCAATCAGTGTAGCGCAGGCAACCCAAAAAGGTTGGACATGCCTGCTCTATTACATTCTGACATATTCTCGGACTTTCCAAGCTTAATGATACTCAGCTTATGAAAATAAAATATGCTGTTTAGCTGGCTGCCTGACTAATTATATCACTTTAGTGATTAACAATGGTTTAAAGAAATTATTTTTGGCAATTTCCTCTTGTCAATTCTACTCCCTTTCTTACTATTTCTCAATTTAGTGAGTTGAAGGGACTCTTTGAAACAGTGTAGTATTGTTTATAAGCACTGCAGGGGAGAACTGCTAACAACTTCTACCCTACTCCACTGATATAATCTTTCAAGGATCAAAGAGTATTCTGTTAATGGAATTATACTAACTGGATTTAACCCAGTGTCAATTAGCCAAAAAATACAATTTATTTTCTGCTACTTGTAGCTTCTTGGTTTTGTTTCCACAAAGTTTCCACAATGGAAATAAACAGCAAATATAAGCATACTGTATCATTCATTATCTAAAATCTTATTTGACTTTATTTGCTTTAATAATTATATCACTATACACAAAAATCCGTTTTAAATGTAAGTCTTCCTCTGAAAATGAAAAAAGTATCAGTGGATAATATGGCACCTGAAATAAACTATTCTTTGCTCTTAACAGTATACCTGTAGTACTTTAACAGACACTGAATTGATCGGGATATATGGGAGTCAGAATTCCAAGTTTAAGTTTTTTTTTATTATTTATTTGGACATGACATTCCTGGTCTCAGAGTTAAAAATAGAAATGTAATATAGATTGTAAAAAGGACCATGAAATTGATTGATAATGATTCTCTGGCACTTCTATACATAAAACTGTAGATTAAAAAATAAAATTCATTATCACTTAATAAGATTAAATTTTTCTAAAGAAAAAGAGAAAGCCTACCACTAGGAATAAAAGAATAACAGAGTTGGAAGGGGCTTTGGTGGTCTTCTAGTCCAGTCCCCATAAGTGTAGGTACATTAAAAAACGCATACAAATAAGTTTTTAAAAATCATTTTAAAATCTAGTCTAGTGATTGAAAATGGCTGTTTCTCGGTTTCCATTATATAGTATTACTGAGGCCTTATGATGAGATAAAATTCAGTTGAGAAGTAGGAAAAATAACATTAACATTTGTTGCATATACTTCCTCAAGTCTCACAGATTCACAATGATCTCAGATTATTTCACAAGATTTAGCTCCAGTCATCTGCACTGTCGCTGTCCACATACTAACAAGCTTTGCTCAAGTTTAAGCAGTTTTACCTAGTTAATTTATTTAAATTTATATGCTGCCCACTCCCTGTTGCAGTGACTCTGGACAGCTTTTAAAATGACTGCAAATATTCTTTATTCAGATGTTCATGGAGATTATTCCCTAAAAAGAAATATTGCCTAAAATTAGAATGGTTCCCTAAAAGTCACCTTTAAAGGTTCTAGTAAGCAGCACTGAGCAGATTCAATAAGAACACAAAATATTTAGTTTTTTGCTACTTGTATTGCCAATGTGTAGGCTCAAACCAGCCACTCTTATTAATGCCCAGTCAAACTTGAAATGGCTTTTCCTCCAGTGATATTCCAGGCTTCTCTTCTCCCTTCATTTAATTTCAAGCAATCATTTTGACAGGGTGAATTAAACAGAGTTGAATATTGTTACCAGAGTCATTATTACTTAATATTTAGAGTTAGTATTTGACTTCCGAGTGGTTGCTTAGCACCATTCAAAGTTATGATGGACTCCAAAAAGATACTTATGACCCAGCATCAAAGTGCCAATGACCAGAAGGAGGAGGGCTGCAGATTTATGGCTGTTTGCAGCATTCCATGATCATGTGACCACAATTTACAAAGTTTCTTTTGCCAGTACAGGTAGTCCTCTACTTACAACAGTTCGTTTAGTGACCATTCAAAATTAAACAGCACTGAAAGTGACTTATGACCAGGGGTGGGATACGACAGGGTTAACTACCGGTTCAGGATTTAATGTATCTCCTGTGATTCACTTAACTATGGTAACAGAGGTCATAAAATGAGGCAAATGCACTAAGCAAATGTCTCATTTAAAAACCTAAATTTTGAGCTCATTTGTGATCATAAGTTGAGGACTACCTGTACTGGCTTTTACTTCCAATTTCTGGCAAAAAAAACACCTATTATGGACAATCAGTTCACTTCACAATTGTGGCATTTGCTTTACAATTGCAAAAAAATCATAAAATCAGGTCAGTCACATGGGTGCCTCAATTTATAACTGTCATGATATACAACAGAAATTCCAAGCTCCATTAGGGTTATAAGTCAAGGACTACCTGGATATAAATTATTTGGTTGTCTATCAAAACAATTCCTGACTTCTTATCCTGCAAATTACCTCATAGGTTGTTGCTTCCATAAGCCAATAATATACCATGTTTTCCCAAAAGTAAGACCGGGTCTTATATTATTTTTTGCCCCCGCCATCCAACCTCGTCCTCCAACTCTCCCGCACATGTGGGACAAGCCTCCCGCCCACCATAGCACCTGCGATGCCCCGGCAAACAGGAAGTGTGGGGCACCCTCGTCCCCAAGAGGCAGTCGGGACTCCTCTATCTTCCTTGTTCCTCTGCTCCCCCCACAGGCACCCCCTGACACGAGCTACATTGAACTGGCCACACCCATCTTAACTGGGGTTTATTTTGGTGGTAGCACTTACACTATGAGCATCCTGAAAAATTATGCTAGGGTTTATTTTCTGGGTGGGTCTTATTTTCGGGGAAACACGGTAATCATCCTGCTTAGATCTTCAGGGAATTAAAATGTGCCTTAATATCACTTGCCACGGTTAATCACTGTAATGAGTAATCAAGTATGCAAAGACAAATTCATTTTTCCTAAACTTCTTAAAATCCACAGGTAGCAACTAAATGGTTAGGAAATCAAAGAAAATACTTTAGGATCTTTTTCAAACCTCTGGCAGAGAAGTGCTCATGTGGACTATGTACTTAGAATGCTTAAAATTCAGCTTTGGAACAATTAGATATTTGTTAACTAATGGGTAATCTCTTTTAATTCTTATGGCCCTAAATATGTTCTCTGGCAAGGTAACTCCCAATTCGTGTATGGTGTGCAGCAGTTACTCAGAATTTGGAAAGTGTGGCAGTCTAAATTCCTGTAAAACGTTTTTCAAGCTCCATACTGTTTTTCCAGTGTAGTTCTCTACTGTGAGGCTGGTGAAATTAAGACTGAAAACAAGACTGGGCAAACTTTTATCTACTGGTTAATAGACTTAACCATTCTGTGACTAACATTTTTTAATGAAAAATACAAAAAGTTAACAACATAAAGATTAAACAGCCTATAGAGAAAGATGCATTTTTACAGATTTTCTAAATCTGCAGAGACGCAACCCAAATGGTAATTTTACATTGTTTTAAAGTATGTATATTAAAGATTCAGGTTGTATTAATTTGCTGAGTAATGTGCATTTCCTACTAATTTAAATAAATCTGCATTAATTTCATTAACAGTTACACCTTAAATATTAAAGAGTTGCTATGATGATTCAATTAATCTTCTAAAAATACTTCATTCTCTCCAGAATGAGGAAACTAAGGAATGATAGATGTCAAATACAGATAACAAGGGAGGGCAGAGAGAAAAAAAACAGAAGGATCAGATATATATCCTGAACAGAACTGAATCTTTTCTGTGTTCACCATCACAATATTCAACTGAGGTACTAAAGTTAATAGATACGGACCTGATCACCAGAAATACAATGAACAAGCAGAATATTTAATAAAGGAGATAACCTACCAACCCCTCCTTTATCTCATAGTACTTTCAATAAAGTTTCTTTCAACAAATAAATAACAAGAAAAAGGTGAAGGAAACCGTTGATCCCCTAAAGAGAGAAGATGGCAAGGAAGTAACAGGCAGTAGAGAGAAAGCAGAGCTGCTTAAAACTCATTTTTTGCATCAGTCTTCATGCAAAAAGAAACTATAGCCCAACCTACCAAAAACGTAACTGTAAAAGACAGACTAGAAATAAAAAATTAAAATTAAAATAAGAAAGAAAGTGGTAAGAGTATCAACTTCAAACCGAAACTGGCAGAAGCCATTTTGTTGATTCTCAATTGCCACACAGTATGGGGGTGAGGTGGGGAGAAGGAGGCTGGAATGAACTGCCAGACACAATGTCCCTTTCTCGTGTTGGATGAGAACGGAGAAGAGTGCCAAGGGAGCCACCAGTGAACCTAACTGGACAATGTGATCTGTGACATTTGGAGAGAGAATTATTAACTATTTTAACTATACTGAAACTGCAGGAAATATTCGGAGTTGGTTTTACATTTAATCATGCCAATATGATGTGCCCAATCAAGAAGTTCTTTGAGAAAGATCTGAGTCGCAGAGTTCTGATTTGCTTGGGCTCGAAGATCGGAAACCTTCACAACCTGTCTTATCTTGATGAATATAAATCATTGCGACCTCACAGATTACATCCCAGAGTTCTGAAGGAACTGACAGATGTAATCTCAGAACCATTGTACCACATCTTTCAAAAATCCTGGAGCACTGGGGAACTACTAGAGGATTGGAAAAGAGCTGATGTAATTCCCATCTTCAAAAGGGGAGGGAAAAAAAACAGATCTAGGAAACGACATAGCAGTCAGCCAAACTTCAATATCTGGGAAGATACTGGAAAAGATAATCAAAAACCAGATCTCTGAACATGTGGAAATAAATAAAGTTATAACTAGGAGCCAGCATGGGTTTCTTAAAAATAGATCATGCCAAACCAATTTTATTTCATTCTTTGACAAAGTGACTAAGTTAGCAAACCAGCAAAATGCTGTGGGTATAGTATACTTAGACTTTAGCAAGGTATTCAACAAAGTAGACCACAGCCTACTTCTTGGTAAACTAGAAAAATGAGGGATAAACAGCATCACCACCAGATGGATTTATAACTGGCTGACAAACTAAGTACACAACAAGCAGTCCTTAATAGTAGTACATCTACACGGAGGGGAAGTAAGTAAGCAGTAGGATACCATAAGGTTCCGTCTTAGGCCCAGTACTCCTCAATATCTTCATAAATGACTTAGATGAGGGAATAGAAGGAGAACTCATCAAATTTGCAGATGACACTAAGCTGGCAGGAATAGCCAACACACCAGAAGACAAGCTCAGGATCCAAAAAGATGTTGACAGACTTGAACAATGGTCCCTATCCAACATAAAATTTAATGTACAGAAAAGTTATGTTTTACACCTAAGCAGGAAAAACTAAAGATACATGTAGATATTAGGTGAAACCTGGCTCAAAAACAGTAACTGTGAGCGGGAATCCAAGTGGACGATCATTTGAACACGAACTAGTATAGTGTATGGCAGCAGCCAAGTAAGCTAATACAATCCTCCATTGTATAAACAAAGGCATAGAATCAAAATTACATGAAGTATTAGTACTGCTTTATAAACCTATAGTAAGACCACACTTGGAATATTGCATCCAGTTTTGGTCACCACATTAAAAAAAAGATGATACTTTGAAAAAAAGTGCAAGGAAGAGCAACTAAGATGACTAAGGGTCTGGAGACAAAAACAGATGAAGAATTGCAGGCCAATCTAGAGAAAAGAAGGACTAGGGATGACATGATAGCAACATTCCAGTATTTGAGGGGCTTTCACAAAGGAGATCAATTTATTTTCCAAAGCATCAGAAGGCAAGACAAGAAGCAATAGATGGAAACTAATAAAGGAGAGAAGCAATCTGGAATTAAAGAGAAATTTCCTAAAAGTGAGGACAATTAACCAGTAGTACAGCTTGCTTTCAGTTAAGTGCTTCATCACTGGAGGTTTTTAAAGAAAAGACTGCACAACCACCTGTCTGAAATGGTGTAGGGTCTCCTGCTTGAGCAGAGGGTTGGACTAGAAGATCTCCACGATCCCTTCCAGCTCTATTCTGATTGAAGTAGAACTGGAAGTCAGATTTCCCATCATTCTTTGGGTACTCTGAAAATCTTTCATATTTATGGTTAACTGCCTAAAGTTATCTTTTACAAAACAGGCAGCCATGTAAATTTCTAAATAAAAAAAATTAAGTCTCAGCTATTTTAGAGGACAAGAGCTTAAACTCCCACTGAAATCAATATTACATGGGTTGGTTGTACCTTAAGCATTTGTTTTCTGAAATGTTTCTCATATACAAGGTAAAACCAAAGAAATATTTATATATAACTCACCTTTAAGGTTCTAGTGGGAGCCCAGCCAGTACCATCAATAGAATGTTCTCTTAATAAACTGAAAGAGGTAAGAAAATATTATCTTACAATTCACATTTTTAAATACACTAGGTTTTAGAAATGTAATCAATGTAACAGAACATGCACATTCACTTAATGAATACTGTAGAGTAATATTTTACAAGTATTGCCAAAGTATATTTACATTATAAAAAGTTCTGAAAGTATCATATTTATATCAAATATAGGTATTCCTCGACTTACAACCATTTGTTTAGTGACCGTTCAAAGTTACAAAAGCATGAAAAAAGGAAATTATGACTGTTTCTCACACTTGTGACAGTTGTAGCAACCCCAGTCACATGACTCACTTAATAACTGTCTTGCTTAGCAACATAAAATTTGGGCTGAATTGTGGTCGAAAGTCAAGAATAACTTGACTTACAACAATTATGTATGTAAACATATACCTTTAGTTTTAAAAAGATATGGAATTATACCTATTTCTGAAGAAGTTATTTCTTCAGATAATGAGAACTATTAAAATTATTAATATTGCTAGGTTTTTTTTCTTCATATCCCTCATCTACCTTCTTGCTTGACTATTATTCTGTTAAACATGACTGTTAGTCTATTATCATTGGCTTGATAAAGATTCTCTTTTTTTATGTCAGCTTCAGTTATTTGAACACTAGCTACCACTAGCCTTCTTAAAACTGAACGTAACTATTTTCCTTAATCTATTTTAATAAGATTTAATCTATCATCTCCTGATGGCAGCCTCAATAAAATGGTCTCTAGTAGTTCTGATGTTTTTATTATTTTCTGTGGCTCTGCGAATTTCATACTCAAGAGATAAGATTTTGAATATCAGACAGTGGACTTTAAATAACATGCAGCTTTCTGGGACTATTTGTCCCTTTTCAATGCTGAGGAAATTCTGACTGAGGGAATGACGGTTATCTCTTTCAGCATGGCAGTTAGAAAGAAGCAGAAGAGAAACAAGGCAAGAAGGGGCAAACAAGAAGGCATTTTACAAAGACTCATGAAGCATGGGGCAAGAAATTCGCCCCCCTTGCTGTATTTAACTAATCTTTGCTTAGTTGAAAATAAGACTGATGAAATACTCCTTTTAAATAGGAACAACTCAGACTTTTCCAATTCAGCAGCCCTCTTCTTCATTCAAATATGGCTAAATGATTAAATTAATGATAGTTGCTTGCAAATGGTCAGAATTTCAGATTCAAAGAGCAAATAGAATTGCAGAAACATCTGGTAAAAAGAAGGGAGGTGGTATCTGCTTTTATATTAACAACTGATGATATAAAAATGTCACTATATTAAAGAAATGTTGTGATGTGGACTTAGAGACATTATTCATTATTTGTATACCCTATTATGTTCCCCAAGAATTTTCTTCATTCATCCTAGTTGAGATCTACATACCACTCCAAGTTTGCATAAACAAGGCATTGCAAACCTTAACTGACCAAATCCTGTGGAGATATCCAGACTCCCTACTTATCATTATGATGCAGTGGTGCGTTTCAAAAAAGTTTACCACCGGTTTGGTGGGCGTGGCTTGGTGGGCGTGCTTTGTGTGTGTGCAAATGCACACTTTGTGCAGGGGCAGAGGCTTTCCAACTCACCTCCTGCAATCCTGTACTCTGTCGCTTCAGCAGCTGATGTGTGGCAATCTGCTGTGCCGCTCAAAGCAGCTGCACTTCACAAGCAGGGAATAAAGGTCAATAGGGAAGCCCAGGTGGGCAGGTGGGCCCAACACCAACTCCAACAGCTCCTCAGAGAACCGGTTTGGTCTCTGCTGCTCTTTGGCGCTACCGGTACACCAGTACCGGGCCAAACTGGTAGAATACCACCATTGGTATGATGGTATTTTAACAGAGCTAACCTAAGGCAAGAGCTGCCAAGATACATTCAACATGTCAACTGTCTCACAAGAGAAATTCACCAGTGCTACTCTACATTAAAAGATGCCTACAATCTGGAACTGGCCAATGACCTGAATGTGTTCTCCTGTAGATTTGAGAGGAGACTTCTGTCAATGATTGTTGCCTTTTCCATCTCAGATACACCACCAACAACAGCCAAGTCAACTCCATCCCTCTGGGCCCACCACCTCTTGTGATCACAGAAAAAGATGTGTGAGATCTGTTTCACAGACAACTGTAGAATCAGGCTGGAAAAGCACCAGGCCCACACAGGGTAATTCCTTTTGCTTGAAAGTCTGTGCTGATCAACTGGCCCCAATCTTCACCTGCATCTTTATTAAATCACTGGAGATGTGTTATGTCCCTTCTTGTTTCAAATGCCCTACTATCATTCTGGTGCTCAAGAAACCTTCCATCAAGGAGTTGAATGATTACAGACCAGTTGCTCTGACATCCATAGTTATGAAAACCTTCGAAAGGTTAGTGCTGGCCCACCCAAAAGCTATCAAAGATTCACTGCTAGAACCCTTGCAATTTACCTACTGTGCAAATAGGTTGGCAGATGATGCTGTCAACATGGTACTGCACTACATCTTAACATTTTGAATCCCTAAAGACCTACAGTGCATTCAGAAAGTATTCAGACCCCTTTCACTTTTGCCAATTTTGTTATGCTGGAGCCTGATTCTAAAGTTGTTGAAGTTTATTTTTTTCATTAATCTACACTCAGTACCCCATAATGATAAAGTGAAAAAAAATTAGAAATGCCTTTAAATTTATTAAAAAGAAGAAAACTGGCCTATCATATTGGCATAAGCATTCAGACCTTTCACTCAATAATTTGTTGAAGCACCTTTGGCAGCAATTACAACCTCGAGTCTTTTTGGGTATGACGCGACAAGCTTTGCACACCTGGATTGGGGGATTTTCTGCCATACTTCCTTGCAATTCTCTCAAGCTCAGTCAGGTTGGATGGCGATCATGGTTGGACAGCCATTTTCAGGTCCCTCCAATGATGTTCAATAGGTTTCAAGTCTGTCTGGGCCACTCTAGGACATTCACTGTTGCCCCTAAGCTTGCGCTACCTTGGCTGTGTACTTAGGATCACTGTCATGTTGGAAAGTGAACTTTTGGCCCAGTCTGATGTCCCGAGTGCTGTGGAACAGGTTTTCATTGAGGATATCCTTGTACTTTGTTTAACTTTTCTTCAACCCTGACCAGTCTCCAAGTTCCTGCTGATGAAAAACAGCATAATGCAAACACCAAGCAGGCTTTCATATGTTTTGCACTGAGGAGAGGCTTTTGTCTAGCCATTCTGACATAAAGCCCAGATCGGTGGAGGGCTGCATTGATGGTTGTCCTTCTGGAACTCTGTCCCATTTCCACACACAATGGCTGAGCTCAGTCAGAGTGACCATTGGGCCTTTGGACACCTCTCTTACTAAGGCCGTTCTTTCCAATTGCTCAGTTTGACTGGGCGACCAGTTCTTGGAAGAGTCCTAGTTGTGCCAAACTTCCTCCATTTGAGAATTATTGGAGGCCACTAGCTCTTGGGAACCTTCAGTACATCAGAAATTTTATTGTAGCCTTCCCCAGATCTGTGCCTTGCAATAATCCTGACTCTGAGCTCTGCAGGCAGGTCCTTCATGGCATTGTCAGCTGTGACGCCTTCTATAGAGAGGTATGTGCCTTTCCAAATCATTTCCAATCAATTTAATTTACCACAGGTGTCCAATCAAAGTGTAGAAACATGTCAGCAATGATCAACAGAAATGAGAAGCACCAAGAGTTAAATTTTGCATGTTGCTGCAAAGAGTCTGAATACTTATGCCAACGTGATATTTCAGTTCTTCCTTTTTAATAAATTTACAAACATTTCTAAAAATTCTGTTTTTGCTTTGTGTTGCATGCCAAACTAGACACAAGGACAGTCCCCCGTACATACGTCCCCCCATGCCACCTCTCTGCTGAACACCTAATTCCCATAGCACTGTTTCAGGCCTAAGGATATTTACCCATACAGTAGGTTGTATTGCTATTAACATTCTCATTTCTCATTCTTTCTCATCTTCTCTTCTTTCCTACTAACTTCTCCTATTGGTATCATTCTTTATCACTTGTTTATATGTTATGATTAATGATTTGTGATCTATGATTAGTGATCTATGATTATATGATTTGTGATCTATGAACTATCACTTTGTTGTTTGATTGAAAACTTATACACCAGAGACGAATTCTTTGTGTGTTCACTTGGCCAATAAAGAATTCTATTCTATTAGTCACGCTTGGCCAATGAAGAATTCTATTTCTATTTCTGTTCATTCCTATTCAAATTTCTAATTAATTTTCTTCGTTAGCAACCTCATTTCAATATTGCAGAAATAATATTTATAATATTATAATATTTCAGAAAAGTTTGGCCAGTGCATAAATTATGGAAATATTATGTGATGTCCAGATTTAACTGGGGGAGCAACATCTCTTAATATTTCATTTGCTTGATCTATTTGTCATGGAATAAACCTATAGTCTGTGCAGTAATATTTACCCCCTTGCAGATGTTATGAATTTTTCCTTATTTCTCTCTCTAAATCTTAATTAAGTTTCATGTGGGGCATCTGAATGAACAAATAAAATCAACATTTGACGCCAGTTTCATTTTTTAATTATAATTTTATTAATAATATCAAAGTATAAATACAAGTTATGAAAATAGTGGGAAAACGGAGGAGTGAAAGGGGAAAGGAAAAACTGTAGGGTAACGGGGAAAAGAAAACGAAAAGCATTGACTTCAAACTCTTTTTAGTGCAGTAGAATACATTATAGCTTAAACTTTTTACTTTTGCATATGTAATACGTACTAGCTATTTCTATAACAACAAACTTATCTAAAATCAGCGAAACCCAAAGTAAAATTTCATTTTTCCCCATCGGAAGCACAAAATCCACAAGCAGTTTCCAAGCAGAAGCAAAATTGAATGTATTCTTTTCTTTGATCAGAGAAGTTAATTTAGCCATATCTGCTAGTTCCATCAGTTTTTCCAGTTATTCATCCATTATTTCAGAAATAAAGTGGTCCAGTGTGAAAAGTAATAATGCTCCTCATTAACTAAGGACCAATTATTTCAATTATCAATTTGATAAACAAACTTCCTCAAAACATCTGCCCCTCCATAGTTTCCTGGAACTACTGTCACCTGGTCAAGTACAATTTTGGCCTGTATGGAAATCACTATATAGACTATGTGCCATGATAAGAAGATCAAAGTACAATCTAAGAAAATGGGACTTCCCTATAGAAGATACTCTGTGTGAATGTGGAGAAAAATTCATCTCCCATATGCTATGGTGCATATTATGTTCTTCAACATGTACGGAGGAAGACTCATGCTGCCAATACAGCCTGATACTGGGTGAATATCATTTAGTTTTAATCCTACTTATTTTGTATACTATTTACATGTGTTACACTTTTATGACCTATTTTACTTGCTCAATATTGAAGGTTTATTATCTATAATTTGAAGGTACTTCTGACACAAATCAAGATCAATAATCAGTGTGCCCCATTTCAGACTCTTGAATAAGAATATGTTGTGCTCAAAGGATATTTCTAAAGTTCTTTAGGAAGAATTCATTTGTGCTTATCTGTCTGAAAAAAGTTATAACATCATTTTTAAAACTATTGAGTTCCACTAATGCATTTCTTTTGTCTTCTCCACTTAGGACTAATATCTAGAGACCTAGTCCTTAACTGGAGAAGACATAAATGCATTTTCCTAAATGCTGGGAAAGAGAAGGCCAAATTTACCTCCTTAGAGAATGCATTCTGTAGACTAGGAATTATAGAGATGAAGGTACCTCATATGAACTTCTGCAAGGTAGGGCTATTTTTTCAAAGTTCTTTCCTGCTGATCCAAATAAGTGCACAAGTTTATAGCATGTGAAGCAGTCCCACAATAATCAGACCTAAAGCCATTTATGGCTTTAAAGTTCAACCTCAAAAACAGATAGTCCCTGGCTTACACCCACAATTGGGATCAGAATTTCCGTTACTTAGCAAGACAAGTTAGTCACACCCAATTTTTGGACTATTTTGCTACAGTTGTTAAGTGACTAACAGAGTAATTAAATGCATCCGATTCCCCCACACCACACATTGACTCTGCTTATTGGAAGCCATCTAGGAAGGTTGCAAATGGCCAATGTCCATCATGCCAGTTGTCAAGTGCTCGAATTTTGATCATATGACTGTGGGGATGCTACAACAGTCACATGTGCAAGCACTAGTTGTAAGTCATGTTAATTAATCAGTGGAGTGACTTGCATCCAGAGGTTGTGGGTGCTTCATGCCTAAAAGTTTTCAAGAAGAGACTGGATAACCATTTGTCTGGAAAGGTATAGGGTCTTTTGCTCCAATAGGGGGTTGGACTAAAGAACTTCAAGGTCTCTTCCAAATCTGTTAGTCTATGATTCTATGAATTTAAGTGCCATTGTAACTTTGAGTGATAGGTAAGTGAATGATTGCAAGTTGAGGATTACCTGTATTCAGATTGAGTCATTTATCAAGGGTAGCTCCAAGTAAAGCATTTTGCAGGTGCCAAGATTAGTTGTAATTAATGTGTGGATAACTTTTCCTAGAGCTCCCTGAATCAAGAAGGGTTGCAACTAGTAGAAAAGCTATAGTTGTCCAAACTTAATCCTTGTAACAGTTGCAATCTGCAGTTCGAGCACCCGCAAAGAGTGAACTTTCTTGGGGAAGGCAATTTGATCCATCAGTCCCCAGGTAAGCTGGAATTGGTAAGCTTCTCCTTAACAATTCCGCCTTGCCTTAATTTATATTTCTTTCTGTTAATGGACTGGTTTAATCTTACAAAATTCTATGAAAATTAGAGAGAGATTGAAGAGAGGAGGTGAGTGACAGAAAGAAAATAAAAATAAAAGGAAGAAAATGAGTTATTATACAGGGACTTAGATTACCAAGCTCACTAAAGCAAGTTAAAACAGAATTTTTTTAAAAAAATCAAATTTTCAGGGGACAAAGGAATTTTAGATGTGCTTGTCAACAGACAAGAAGATGGAAGCCTAGAAAACACAGTTTATCACCAGGCTACCAATATTCCATGCATTCTGAATTTCAACAGCAACCATCTACTGCCACACAAAAAGAGATGCATCAGAACACTATATGGCAGGGTGAGAACCCACTATAGTACCCAGCAAGCCGAACAGCTGGAGAGCAGGTACATACATGACAATTCAGGAAGAATGGGTACCTACAAACATTTGCTACAAGATGTCTGTGGTGGGGAAAGAAAGGAAGAAACAAGGTACAAGACCAACCACATGGCACATCTTGCCATACAACATTTTGGAAGCTGTAGAACACAACAAGATTTGCAAGTGGGCACTGCATACTACCCAGAGGCTACCATATGAGGACAAATTATGCATTGTAAAGATTACTTGGAGGTGGGAGATACTTCCAATGTAATCTACTGGATCCCCTGCATGGATTGCCCATGACTATGTAGGACAGATGGGGAAGAAGTTAACGACCAGACTGCAAGAACACAAGTGAGCAATCAGACGAGGAGACCTCACACTGCAATGAACGACAACATACATTTAATTTTGCAGCTACTAAGATTGTTCGATGAGCAGGAACAAAAACAACCAGAGAAATGATTGAAGCCAGGGAAATGGACACCTGGTCAGTGAACAAGAGTGCTTTTTTATCACCATCTTATCAAGTACTTAGAGGCGAGGGCTTGGCAACACAAGGAAACAACAGCAAATGACTTAATAGCCAGCCACCAATAGCCCAATCAACATCTAAAAAGCCACATACAACAGAGGTACCACATAAATACCACCCACATAATAGCCCAAAACATACACTCTGCTCGAGAGAAGTTCCCTGAAGATGGACTCCAGAAACGAGTCTGAAAGCTTGGAAGACTAAACCTCTAGCCCTGGTGGTCAACCCAGATTAGTTCCTGCAACATTATCCTGGGACATGTATATTCGCCTTCATTCATGGAAAATATTGGTTGTCTATTTTATAAGCTATCACTTTTATTTCACTTTGTTAAAGCAAAAGATGATTATAACATTCCTCTCCTAGTCATAGAGGAAGACAGTATACCATGTTACACTTTCTTTCCTTTCGTTTGTTAAATTTATATCTGAGCTTTCTTTTTTAAAAGCTATGTAGTGACTCCATTCCTTCCCTTTATTTTAACTTCCTTTCTGTCATTCAGCTCTCTTCAACCGCTTTAATTTTCATAAAATTCTGTCCTATTTTCTTTATAAGAATGTACACAGTTGATGTTGTTCTTTCTTTAAAATGATGAAAGTAATTTACCATTTCAGAGGGGCATATTTAATAATTAATAGATTTAAGATCAGATAATGCCAATGTTTTAGTTTATAAAAATTACAATTACTAGAGTATAGAAGCAGGTAGATGGTTATCTTTATATTTAATATATCTTTTGCATAATTTTTGTCCACTGAATTAGCTGCTAATTAACTGCTCAACTCTTGATCAAACAGACTGAAGCAACAAGAAAATCCTCTATTTAGAAGTATTAGGCATTCCATTTTCTTTTTAAACTTATATGCTCTTTACCCACCCACCCCTTTTATGTACATATTTGATAAAATAGTAATAAAAGAAAACTGAACTATTTAAATAATGAATTACCTCAAACAGATTTCCCCTGTCTCAGTTATATTTGGATGCCAGATTCTTGTCAAACATTTTACCTTTGGAGGCTGTCAAAGAATAAAACAGAGATTACAATTTGTTATATATGAAAGGCAAATTGCTCCTTTTCTATCTCTCTACCTTCTATGCAGTGTGTATCTCAGCTCCATGAAGACACAGAAAAGACAGAAAATTCCTATCCCTGCCCTTTCTAACATATTTTTTCTTAGCTTTCTTCTTAGCTATAAAAATCAAGTATTGGGTAAACCATGCATTATTAACAAAACCATGACAAAGGTTTACATATATCAAATTAGAAATATTTTAATGTCTTTCATTTAAGCCAGGGGTATCAAACTCAAGGCTCGTGGCTGGATCCAGCCCATGAGATGCTTAGATCTGGCCTGTGGGGCCGCCCTGTAAACAGCAAAGGACCAGCCCATGGTGCTTCTGTCAGCGAAAACTGAGCTCGGGAGGGCTGTGCACGCCTCCTGCAGCCCTCTGCCAGTGAAAACAGGTTGGGGGTGGGCGCACCTGCTCCCCCGAGCTCTGCTTTTGCTGGCAGAGGGCTAGTAAAACAAACTAAAAACAAAACAAAAGGATAATGTTTCCCCTTTTGCATTTGAGCATGCAAGGAAGGAAAGGAGACAGGGAAAGACAAAGAAAAAGAAAGATGGGAAAAGAGCAAGGAAGGAAAAATAAGGAAAGAGGGGAAGGAAGAAGAATGAATGAAGAGGGAAGGAAAAAGAAGATAAGGAAGTTAGGAAGATTATAATGAGAGCTGTGAGGGAGGGTCTTAGCACTTGGCCACCACAGGTGCTCCCGACACGAGTAACTTCGCCCACCCTGAGGTTAAACACAACCCTCATGCGGCCCTCAATGAAATCAACTTTGACACTCCTAACTTAAGCCAACTCATAATATTAGAAAACTTTAGGTTATTTGATGGATACAAATCAAGTTAGCATAGGGCTCATTTCTGGTTGGGGTGATGTGATTTCTGACTTCTTTAAACATAGTATCTATTTCCTAATAAGCTTAGTTAAAACTTATTTTAGAAATTTGGAAAAAATTGACATATTCTTTGGCTGTTTACTTTTCTTCTGTACCTTCATTCCTCAATCATCCTTTTTTAAAGTGAAGGATAGATCTGTTTAATATAAGGAATGGGAAGATACAGAAGTTACATATTGTGTTTTAATCCGAGGCACTATTGAGGGATTTTCATAAGATTCATCAGTATTTTGTGCTGCAACACAATAAGAAACCCAAATTATTTTCCAAAGGGGCTTAAGGTTACAAAACAGAAGCCTTGATTGCAATTGCAAATAAATAAAATAGATGAATATAATTTTTCATAAGTTTTAATGGGCTTAAGGAACCAAATATAGATTGTTGAAGGAATGAAAGTACTTGACTCTCTTGATATTAAGATGTAATTTCTGACCAGCTCATTTGCACAAATCCTACTATTGGTTTAATGTCTATATTTCTTAACATGCATAAATTGATACAACAGAAGAAACTAATTCAATTGATTTAAAGGAATTAATTCAATTCCTGCTGTTTTGTTTGAAAAATTAACATAAGATTTTGGAAAACCTTACAATGAAAGATAAATTTATTGAATTATGATCACAATTAATTCATGATACTTTTTTCATAATAAAGTTTGTACAAATGTCATTCTATGCTAAAATGTGTTTTAAATGTTTGTATTTCTCTTTAAAAATCCCAAAAGTATTAATACTGTATTAAAATATAATACAAATAATTTTATGATTTTTCTTCCCAACTCTTTTTATAATGTTTTCCCATAGAAGAAAAACCAAAAGAAAAAAGGAAAGTGTGGAAAAAAAATTAAATGAGGGGAAAAATGAAATATTTTAAATGGTTTCCAAGCTTCTTTTCAACAGATAATTATAATTTTATTTTCCCTATTCCCCTAGAGATGCAATACACGTATCTTCAGCTTCTCATTTAATCCACATTTTTCTCAATCTTCAGATCCATAAATCATAGAATCTAGAATAGGGTTGGAAGGAACCTTGAAGATCTTACTTTTTGGTGAAACTCATATTTTTGAAGATCATTTTATTATTTTTTTAGCAAGGTTTCCAGACATTCAGGAAAAAAACTGTTGATTTTTCTCTGACTAAATCACTTTTGCCATTTCTATAAATTCTGACCTCTTCACTATCCATTCCTCCACCGCTGGAATTATTTTTCTCCTTTTCTCACTTACTTTTCCTTTTCCTTTGGCTTTGGTTTTATTGCTTTTTAGTTTTACCCTGAAATTCTGTTTTTTTAACAAAAAGTTTAAAGGTAACCCAACAAAGCAATATGATCTGTGGGTTTTTTTACAAAGATAAACAAGTTTGAATAGGAAAGGTTTATGAAAATGTTTATAGAACAACAATACTTTAAACTCTCAGCTCTAGGATACCACAGCAATCAACATTTATTTCATTTTTATTCAACATCTACATGAAGTCACCAGGTGAAGTCATCCATCAGGGTCAGGTATCACCTGTCCACCCCTGACAACCAACTTTCTACTCTGACCTTGAGTGAATGAAGTGATGGTGTCCAAGTGCTGTCAAGATACCTTAAGGCTGATATACCAGAGGTACATGTTGAGGCTTAATACTTATAAGGCACAGAGGTTCAGAGTTCATAAGCCATCCAACTTAGAACAGATCTTATCTTCAGTTCTAAACAAAAAAATATTCCCCCATGTAAAATTGTTGTGTAACTTGGGGGGTCCTCCTGAGGTACAGTATGTGCTTGATGAACAAATGGCAACTCTGGCTAAGGGGTATCTTGTACAAAAATTATAATGGGAGGCACTGAACCGTCAGTCATGACTTAGCTACCTCTTGTTTTACTCTACATAGAAGTGTCTCTGATTAGCATGTGGAAGCTATTACTGATCCAGAATGCAGCAACCCAATTAGTTATAGGAATGCTTCAGTACACCCATGTAACACTTTAATTTGAAAACTGTACTGGCTCCTTTTTGAGTGAAATTCAAGGTGCTGGTTTAAAGCCCTTCATGGTTTAGAAAATGAATATCTTTTCAGATGGTCCCAGCCACCTGAACGGAACTTTGTCCTTGGCTTTTAGAAAGAGATTTAAAATGTGACTACTTTTTTTAGTCATAGGGAGAAATATTATAACTTCTCTCTTGTGAGGAATGTTGTTTTAAATTTTAAGTCAGACTGTGATATTCCCAATTTTTTTTATTTTGAACCCCCCTTATCCCTAAGGATTTGCTTTGTTATTAAATGTTTATACTGCTATGCTATTTATTTTGAATCTGAATTATATTTAATTATATTGAAAAAATCAAACTAATCTCTCCTATATCTTCCCAGTCACTTTCTTTCTCACTAATATAAAATAACAGGGTTGAAAGGATCTTTGGAGATCTTCTAGTCCAACCCTCAGCTCAAGCAAGAAACCCCTTACAATTGTAGATAAATTGTTGTTCAACCTCTTCTGGAGATTTTCAAATGATGGCGCATCCACCATTTCTGGAGGCAAACCGTTCCACTGATAAATTGTTGTCACTGTCAGGAAATTTCTCCTTAATCCTAGATTGGATATCTTTAGTAAACTTCTCTTACTCTTTCTCCTGTCCTCGGGTCCTTTGAAGAATAGGTAAATCGCCTCCTCTCTGTGACATACCCTCAATTGGAAGACTGCTATCATATCATCTCTAGACTTTCTCTTTGTTAGACTGGACGTATCTAGTTCCCACAAATCATTCATCGTATAGTTTAGCCTCCAGACCTCTTATCATATTTGTTGCTCTTCTCTACACTCTAGAGCAGGGTATCAAACTCAAAGCCCATGGGCTGCATCTGGCCTGCAGGGTGCTTAGATCTGGGCCACAGGGCCATCCTGGTAACAGTGACAGACCAGTCTGTGGTGCTTCATGCCACCAAAAACAGAGCTTGGGAGGGCGGCCCTCCTGAGGCCCATTTTCACTGGCAGAGCGCTTGGGCAATTACAGGCACCCCTGACATGAGTGATGTTGAGCTGGCTACACCCACTCTGGCCTCACCCACCCAGCTCCGCAAGGTCAAGCACAACCCTGATGCGGCCCTCAATGAAATCAAGTTTGACACTCCTGCTCTAGAGCTTCAAAGTCTTTTTGATGTTGTGGGGACCAGAACTTGACAGTATTTCAAGTGTGGTCTCACTTGAGTATGAAGAGATACTATCACTTCATGTGATCTTGAAACTATCTCTCAATTGATGCAGTTTAGGACTAAATTGGCCTTTTTGGCCGCAGTGGCACATTGCAGACTCATACAGTGGTTGTCCATTAGGACACCTAGTTCTTTCTCACAGTTCCTACTATTGAGTCAGATACCTGTGAATTTGAATAATAAATCATTCATTCCGGGATGTGTCAAATGGCATGTGAAAAGGCTCAGATTTCATTGCTTAAGTGATTTGATCCTGCTGTATCTATAGCTTTTTAAAATTCAAATGGCATGTGAAAAGGCTCAGATGTCATTGCTTAAGTGATTTGATCCTGCTGTATCTATAGCTTTTTATTGGTTTCAAAATATGAATGCCCTTTAAATTCAGAAGGAATTTTCCTATTGGGCACCAGGGGAAGGTTCTGTGGAGGGTGCTTTTTCCATGGCTTGGGGTGTGTGGTTTCACTTGCTGCCTGGATCTTGCGCGTGTGCAGATGGGGCTTCACTCACTTGCACTTGTTCATGACTTGCCACGGATTGGTGCCAGCCCATGGCCCAGGGGTCGGGGACCCCTGCTTCAAGTCTTCCGAGTGGACATATGGCAAACCTATCATATCTCTGCAAAACAGGGAGGAAAGGAAAGGCCAACATTACGGCAATATAAATAAACTAACAGAGCTTCTCTGAACAAGTTCACATGAGCTCCAGGGAAGTGAGGAAGCCTGCAGAATCTAAAGTAGAGCACTACAAGGCCCAGAAGAAGACACTATGTTCAAAACCCTGAATGAAGCCTGTTGAAAGGACATGGATCTATGTGATCCAATTTGTAAAGCAACTTAAATGGAGTAAATTTA